AAAAAAATAATAATAAGAGAAAAAAATCATATTTTATTTTCCCTATTAAGAAGGGTTCGATGAAGGCGCATATGAAACTGGTGGGGTTCAGTACCTCCAAAAAAGGTTAAGAACCACTGCTCTACACACTTGAAGACTCTACAGTAAAATTTAATAGCCCTCGTCACTTGTCAAGAGTTCTCAAGGTATGTGACTTTGAGGTTTTATAACGGAAGAGTGTCATTTCTGTTGTTAAATTATCGTGACCACCCGCTGCACGGCTGCACGGCTGCACGGCCGGGGGCGTCATCATGGATTCTCAATTAAACAGCTCATTGAGTGATATAAGAGGGGGGGGGGGGCTGCGGTGGGGGGGGGATTGGGCTTGAACATTAGATTGGATATAATCACATAGTTCAGGGGCGTGCAGAAAGGTCGCTTTCTCACAACTTGGGATATACCGTCCTGTAGGTCTGATCCACACCAAAAGACTTTTCCTCATCCCTTAATGATGTCAATATAAAAAAAAATTCTGAATATCTATCGACAAATATCGATCTAATTAATGCCTTTGTGTTTTGAGACATTAGCCATCCTTATAAAACCTCTTTTCTTTCCATGCCTCTGAAATTAAATTCAGTTAAATTTTGGCACATTTTTTTTTTAGGTTTTGGGGGGGGGGGATCTTTAAAGTCTTAATCCTTCTTTTTCATGGGGTAACATAAAGTGGCATGTTTTGACTTAATGGCGCCTGGGGCGAAGTCCTAAAATTGTGCCACTACACATACACGTGCGCGAGCACACACACACACACACGCAAACACACACATTATATAAATATTGGTCATAAAAATATTAATCAAATTTCCACCAGAAGGGGTTCCCCCCCCCCTCTCCGCCCCGGCCCCTTTTTTCCGCCCCCGAAAATGGAAACTACACATTTAACCCTATCCTGATATCCTCAACGTTTTGAATATTTTTATTGGATACCCCCACACCCTTGTTTTCCAAACAGCCGTTGAAAAGTATTTCCTTAGATTTAAAGAGTACGACGCCATCTTAAATTAAAAACCAGAATAATGTTTTTGAAAAGTTATAATACCTTTGAGATTTCATCAAAGAAACGTTCTTTTCAAGCTTATATGAAAGCGCGGCCCTCAGGAGTGCGTTCACCGGGGGGTGGGGGGTGGGGGGTGGGGAGGGGGCGCCTATTCAAGATCTGTGTACAGACAATGGTCCTCAAGTCAACTCTATTTACTTCATGATAGTGTTTACTCTCTAAATTATTTTTTTTTTAATTTCAAAATGGCTGTCTTCAGTGGGTGAAGGGATTCTAAAAAATAAAAAATATTACATGAAAATCCTTAAGTTTGTAGTTTATGTCCTTGGCAAAGGAGTTGCAAACTATTGTGTGATTTTAAAGTCTACCCTTCACATAGTTAAAACTATTAAAATATGTGAATAGCACAAAATCATTGGGTCCTAGTGTTTCCCTTTTTTTTGCAGGGATGGTGCAATTCGCTGGTTCAGTCACTATGTCGACGAGGCGCACTATTTCGAAAGAAGAGGTAAGATGCGCATTGATCATGAGAAGAAATTTAAAGAAAAAACAAATATGTGTGAGTGCACGTTTTTTGACATGCGTGTGTGATAACCAAACAAAAATCGTAGACCTTTTTTGTACTTCAACATTCTCCATTCAGTTCAAGTACACGTGCACATAGCCAACAGTTTTTGGCGAATAATTAAACAAACCATAAGAACCAATGTTTTTTTTTTCGTATAAATCCTATACAAAATTTAATATCAAGCAATTGGTGGGGGCAAGGGGGGGGGGAAGGGGTAGGAAGGGGAGGTGGGGTTGAAGCTGATTTTTTTTTAAAAACATGCATTTAGTGACACCCAATCAGTTATCCCCCCCCCCCCTGGCAAGGTTCCCAATGGCACTTTTTTTTTTTTCAAAAACTGGCTTTAGTGGCACCCAATCAGTTTACCCCCCCCCCCCCATGCAAGGTTCCCAATGGCACTTTTTTCACGCCCTTGAACTATATCAATATTCTAATTATACGACCGCTTTAACAAAGCATATTTATTTCTCCAACTATATCAGAAAAGCAAAAGATTATAGTACACACCAAACGCAAATGTGATGTCTTTTTATTTAAGAATCGCATTTAGGGCAGTTATCGAGCATTCCATTTCGGGATATCAGTGTCATCATATTTTCTTCATTTCCACCCTTGAACAACAAGAAAAAAAACTAAACTGATTTATGGATGTTTGGGGGTGGTGCTGTAAGTTTGATCAAATGTATTGTCATCGACAACGAAACACTGTGCCCAGTTTTAGCTGGGAAGTGGGTCAATTAGCCGCCCAAAGATTTTGCCAGCCACAGACACAACAAGCGAAGTTTATATAAAATATTTAAAACGAGGAAAATTAAAGCAAAATATACGTGCCCATCTGTTCATAGTCACGATATCCATCCTCATGCTTTCGCTAAGTCAGTCCCCGTAGCACAACCTGCTGACCAAAAGCTGTTTTATCACTGATTTTACAAACACACAGGGGGGGGAGGGGGTTAACAGACAGACTAACTAATCAAACTGTCTGCGTGACAACCGGTCCATTACGTGATATCCAAGGTTAGAACAAAATAACACGATCTTTGCATTCTGTGTATTAGTGCTATTGCCAGGGCAGCACTATTTAAATGTTTGCTTTTTACAGGTTTTCTTGGTTTTTTTTAGTCAATCCTTGCCATTGGCCTAGACGTTTTTTATAGATATATTTCAGTGTCTCGGCTGACTGACTCAGTCATAAACTCTCAGACCAAACCCTTTAAAGTAGGAGCGTGAAATTTAATTGGCTTGAGATTCATCTCTCGAAAATAATGAAGTCTTATTATTTTCCCGAAAACCCCACCCAGTTGCATGGACACAGCGGTGGTTGGGGGGGGGGGTGAGGGGCTATGCATTCCTTTGAAGTTACCCATATCTGAATTCTATACGGCCGTAGGCTCTATAGACGTTGAAATTGGTGTTTGCATTTCATTACCCGGCACGGGACCCCATGTGGAGACTAATTTATCTAGGGTTATTGAGTGCCATAGCAGACGTACCATATCAAACATATCGTAGCAGAAGTAGAATAACAGACGTATCATAGCAGACGTGCAATATAAGAAGTACCATATCAAACATACCATAGCAACCACGCGATAAGATTCATTGTCAAAAACATATTTATGGCCTCACACCTGAGGAGCTTCTATTTTTGGATGTATGAAGTTACAATTTTTTAGAGCTCTATTCGACTCGATGAGTTACCGACAATCTGACTTGTCAAAGGATCCAATTGTAAATACGACGGCTCACAGCTCAAACAAACGCGGCCCTTCTCCCTTCAGTCCTTCTTATATCCGCCCCTTGAAGTGTCGTATGGAGTGGGGTGAACCAGGCGGACGAACCCAGGTGTCCGTACATCTAATTAAACCATTGGCCCCAAAGCTAACACGACACGCATTCTTTTGGCGGGAAACTATCCAGGAGATTGTATTCACGTGTTTCTATCGACGGACTCATCTGTCCTTGACTGTGTCCAAATTTATCGTACCATTATGTGAGTCCAAATTTATCTTACGATTGCAAGTCCAAATTCATTGTGCAATTATGTGAGTCTAAATTTATCTTACGATTATAAGTCCAAATTTATTGTACGATTATGTGAGTCCTAATTTATCTCACGATTGCGAGTCCAAATTTATTGTATAATTATATGAATCCAAATTTATCTTACGATTATGAGTCGAAATGTGTCGTGCAATCATATTAGCCCGAATTCATTGTACAATTCTATCTGCCCAAACCATCATCCATTCCACTTTCTTTTTTTAAGTTTGAAAAAAAGTTACATCCATTCCATCACAATAAAGTTTGCACAAATCATATTATAATAATTGATGATTTTTAAAAAGCAGTCGTAACAATGGGAGTCACTTAGTGGATTGTTTAGTCACGTGATGAGAGTAAATACGAGTAAGACTTCCAGGAGGCTGTATGCAACACACTAGTGCTTGACAACAGTAGGCCGTTACACACTTCAACTAGTAATTCAAGATGCCTAGGCAATGTTCGGCTTTTGGCTGTTCAAACAGTAAAGTTAAGGACATCGGTAAAAGTCTGCTTAAATTTCCGCTTAAGGATAAAGGGGGGGGGGGGGGGGGGGGTGGGGGGGGGCTGGTGTTGTTTTTGCTTGTCTAGACTTTCGCTGCGGATTGAACTCCAGTCCACCGGGACTTACTCCTGTTGTGCCGCAGGGTCAACTTTGATACACCTTTGTGGCCTCTCCTTGACAGGTATTTTTTTAGTTTTATTGCCTCTTGTTATTTAGTTATTTTTTAAATTTTATATATTCTTAACTTATTTAAATCTTGACGTTATTGAGTGCAAATTCAACTTTCGGCTTTCTCAACATGTTAGATCAGGCCTGTACAACTCAAAATGCAAGGCGGGCCGCAATACTTTATGAGAAACGTGCGCGGGCCAAAAGATAATAGGACAGGGGTGAAAGCTTTTAACAAAATAATGATAATGAAGAATATTTCGTTACTTCGCGGGCCACCAAGTGGGTGCTGGTGGGCTACATATAGCCCGCGGGCCGTATGTTGTGCAGGTCTGTGTTAGACGAACAGCTTTCCCTCCCCACTTCTAAATGCACCGCGAGCAGATTGATTTTGATGTGGTTATTTGTCCTTCGCACGCGAAGACACATCCCATGCTACACTATATTCGACGGTGAGTAAGCTGTTGGCACACTTGATGTGCGCTCTCTTTTAGCCGTGAGTGGTTGATGTACTTTTTGAAATTATTACGAACTACATCAGTATTCTAACAAGTAGTTCATTGCCTAAAAATTTCTCAGGGTTTGCATATTCTGGCATGTATCATTGCCTTATTTTGTCCTGGGATTTATCTGCAACACATGATCTATTAGTTCTTACAAACTTGACCCTCTTGTCCGATTTTCTTCTCCTTTATTCACGAAGTACATAGTATACATATATCCAATGAAACTTAACATATTGACCATTCAAGCGACAACTGAAAATTCTGACTACATGTACTAACTCCACAACAGACTCGCATTCCGTGTTCCCACAGTATTTCAACGTCTCACTTCTTTTGTGATTGGTTGCTTTTTCTTAACGTCCATAACCCGTACCAATCGCAACTCAGCCTCACACAACTCTTTACCAACTTACGATCAACAACGATTCCGTACACAAGCAATCCCGCTCACAAATACACATTATAGCGGAAGCGTGTTCTCCGACAGCGATTCTGCCTCGCCAGCCTATGACTCATGAGAACCAAAGCAGTTATTTCCCATGACTTCAGGTCGATGTTCATAGATTTTAGAGAAACTTCAGGCAATCTTTGAAAGATTTTTTTTTGTGTGCTGCACATCAACCGAACGTTTCCCTCTGGATAGTTCACTGGATATTATTGGTGTAGGAAGTCTGCTCGCTAGCATGCGTGCAAACACGTCTGTCTAGATCAGTGGTTCTTAAACTTTCTAATGCCGCAACCCTTTAACACAGTTCCTCATGTTGTGGAGACCCCAAACACAAAATTATTTTCGTTGATACTATAGTTATAGAGTAGTTGTGTTTTCTGTTGGTCTTAGGCGACCCCTGTGAAAGGGTCGTGCGACCTACAGATTGAGAACCGCAGGTCTAGACAGAAATAACTTTTTAAAGAAAAATATCTACAAACTATACAAACCTAGAATGTATGTGAAGAAAGTATTTTGTCTCAAGTGTCCATGCATTACAAAAATGTGATTACTTTCTTACCACGTACATATACTCTCTACATCTCTTTCATTTTTTCTGCTCCTTGTTCACACTCTCCCTCACGCTCTCTCACTCTCTGATTGCGTTTAAGTAAGAGTTTTTTGCTTGTGATTTCTTTTAAATATTTGAATGTATTCTTCTAGGTAGAACATTTTTTTTAAAAAAAGTGTTCTTTCGTCTTGTCTTGATTGGTTGTGATAAATTGCACATTTCAAAGTTTGTTTTTCATCGAGTCAATAACTAAATTGTCTCCCCTTTCAAAAAATTAAGTAGAACTTGAAGTTTGGCGTCATTAACTCCCTTTCCGTAGTGAGTGCCGTCATAACTGACGGTTCCGTTGGTCAGTTGGAAATAGTTCAAAATGGCGACGCCCCTTCCTTCCAGTACTGCCTTGACCTTCTCATTGAACGAAAGCAGGGCCGGTGTCTGCTGCCTTTTTTCCAGTGGAGTTTTCAGTGTCCCCGGGGCCTGTGCTGCCATCCATATCACCCTGGGCCACGGCGACAGACGGTTTAACATTCGATTGAGGATCTGCAAAAACAACAAAAGAAATTTGACAATTTAATTGAAACTTTTGTTTTCTAAATTTCAGCAATCAGGGCTATTCTTAAATGTATCGGCAAATATCTCTATAACGTCTCTATTCTTAAATGTATCGGCAAATATCTCTATAATGTCTCTATTCTAAAATGTATCGGCAAATATATCTATAACGTCTCTATTCTTAAATGTATCGGCAAATATCTCTATAACGTCTCTATTCTTAAATTTATCGGCAAATATCTCTATAACGTCTCTATTCTTAAATGTATCGGCAAATACCTCTATAACGTCTCTATTCTTAAATGTATCGGGAAATATCTCTATAACGTCTCTATTCTTAAACGTATCGGCAAATATCTCTATAAAATCTCTATTCTTAAATGTATCGGCAAATATCTCTATAACGTCTCTATTTTTAAATGAATCGGCAAATATCTCTAAAATGTCACTGTTCTTAAGTGTATCGACAAATATCTCTATAATTTCTCTATTCTTAAATGTATCGGCAAATATTTCTATAATTTCTCTATTCTTAAATGTATTGGACGATATCTCTATCATTTCTCTATTCTTAAATAGATTGGACAATATCTCTATCATTTCTCTATTCTTAAATGGATTGGCAAATATCTCTATACAGTCTATATTCTTAAATGTAATGGCAAATATCGCTATATTTTCTCTATTTTTAAATGTATTGGCAAATATCTCTGTAATGCCTCTATTCTTAAATGTATTGGCGCAGATCTGTATAGTTTGACGTGGAACGGCCTATTACATTTGTTTCTACTACGCATTGACCTTTGACGGCCAAACATCGGCTTGAGATTTACAAGCGACTAATGATATCTCTTGTCGCAGCTATCGTGGAATGAACTGGAATGTTCTATAATCCTAGTTTGCAGTAAACATTGTTTTACACTATTATATAGAACTATGGCGTTTAACGTGAATGCCATTTCTTTCTTTAACTGTTTGTTCAAGAAATGTGTGAAGTTGTCTTCTCTAAGACTTTGGCCGTTTACGATGTAAGGCATCCCAGATGGAATATTACTAGCAATTTGGGACAATATTCAGAATGTTATCTAATGTGAGTAATATGTCTACTTTAATTAGAGGTACCGGTACCTCACCAGGGGTGCTAGCATCAACCTGGGGTGTAGGGGAATACCCAGAAAAGCAGGTTTACTAGCATTTTTGTTAGCATTTTAAAACGCAAGGGCTGCAGGAAGTGTTTTGAAATTAAGGAGGGATGTGGCGCTGCTAGAAAAAAGGTTAAGAACCATTCACTTAGAGGGTGTCAGATGAAAACCTGAGTGAATCCAAAATTGTGCCACAGCGTAGAGATCATCTCTAACAACATCACAATGTGACGATGGTGTGGACCTCGCAGGACGAAATCAAAGGGTCTGGGATTTGATTTTTTTCTTTAAGGAGAATGAGCTGGTTCCCCAGACAGGGGCAAATCAAGTCTCTCCACGCATCTGGACAACACAGGGGAACATCATGTGCGGAACCAGTTAAGGCGCATGAGGGTTTTTTTCTCCTATAAATTCGCTAACACGCCTGAAAAATCCACATTTTTATTTCTCTTTCGATCTCCATGATTTTAAAGTACCTAATGAAATGAGCAAGTGGCAAATTAATGTGTGAGAATCTTAGACTTTTTTTTAATAATATGGACAATTTACAATATTGATCTATAAGCTCCATTTCAAATCCCTGTGCCCAATCAACAATCCTCATTCCCCATTCACAAACCACAATCGCATTCCCAATCCCCAATTCAAATCCCTATTCCATCCTCATTCCTAATCCCAATTCCAAATCATAATGCACAATCCGAATTCCCAATTCCAATTCCCAATCCCAATTTGTAAAGTCACATTTACAATCCCCATTCCCAATCACCATTCCCATCCCCAATCCTTATTCCCAATCTCGATTTCAATCCCCATTTCCTAATATTGAAACCCAACTATTTTAATTGTTAACTTTGTCTTTTTCCATTTTCAGTTCATCTTAAAATGCGCGTTCGCCACTAAACAGGGTTTTAAAAACAACATGTCTTAGATTCATTGTCTTTTCTACATGCTGAGCTGAATCTTAAAATGAAAAAAAAAAATCTCACTTCAAACTGCAAAACTTAAATCTCACTGTCACAGACTAACTCTGCATTCACAATGTCACACAGACTAACTCCGTAACCCCCCCTCCTGCCCCCCCCTGTCACAAACTAACTCTGTAATCACACTGTCAGAGACTAACCCTGATATTACAATGTAACGGACAAACTTTGATGTCACAATGTCACACAGACTATCTCGTTAACCCCACTGTCACAGACTTACTCTGATATCACAATGTCACAGACTAAATCTGTAATCGCACTGTCACAAACTAACTCGTTAACCCCACTGTCACAGACTAACTCTGATATCAGAATGTCACAGACTAAATCTGTAACCGCACTGTCACAGACTTCTTCTACTAACAGTAGACTCACATTGTCACGGACTTGCTCAAAGTCAAAGAAGTAATGACTGCCCAGTCCAATAATAAACCAAGAGTCGTTTTTTCCACGCAAATCTTTCATCAGCCTCATTATCGAGTGTTGGTATTTTGAGACGTATTCCATCTTCAGCGTCACCTGAACAAACAAACAACAAAAAAAAACAACCAAAACTTGTTATTCGCTCTTTTGCTTAATTGCAATCATCGATTCAAATTTCTTTTCTTTTTTTTATACAGTAAAATATGGTTTAATTTCAGAATTGATTTTTTTTTTTTAATTTAAAAGTCTGATTAACAGATCTCAAACAGTTTTACAATACGCCCTTAAAAAAAAAAAACAAAAACAAAAAACAAATCAAGCGGAACAGTCCCACCCCCTTCTGGCCCCCCTCCCCCACCTCATTTCTTGCAAGGTATGAAGAAGAGTTTCATTGAGTGACCTTACTGTTCCCTTGCATTCTTGCGTGTTCCATATCAGATTAGTTCTACAGTCGGCAAAGTAACGGTAATACTTGTCACACTTGTGGACCTCCGCTGTGAAATGGTCAATGAAACAGATGTGTTGATAGTACAGTAGAGCTTAAGTCACGCTAAGAGACATTTGGATAGTACAGTAAATCAAGGGTCACGATAAGAGACATTTCGATAGTATAGTAAATCACGAGTCACGACATTTGGATAGTGCAGTAAATCACGAGTCACGACATTTGGATAGTGCAGTAAATCAGGAGTCACGATAAGAGACATTTTGATAGTACAGTAAATCACGAGTCACGATAAGAGACATTTCGATAGTACAGTAAATCACGAGTCACGATAAGAGACATTCGATAGTACAGTAAATCACGAGTCATGATAAGAGACATTTCGATAGTACAGTAAATCACGAGTCATGATAAGAGACATTTCGATAGTACAGTAAATCACGAGTCACGATAAGAGACATTTCGATAGAACAGTAAATCACGAGTCACGATAAGAGACATTTGGAGCGTACAGTAAATACAGAGGTAAATAAACTTATTTAGCCTGAGTGGAAAATCAACAATGTCTTTACTCATGATTATAATACACGACAGTGGTCTCGTGGCCAGGTGACGTCATTCTAAATTCAAAACTCGTCACATCTCTTCACACAATACATGTCTATGAAAAATATTGTTGTAGTTGGGGGGAGAAAAAACATGGCTTATTTCATGGTACTTAAATACCACTAAAAATTTTCTTATAACAATTGCGTTTTGATGCGACCCATAAAATTGTAAGATCAATTAATATTGACCGAATTCCTTTCTTTTTCAAACAAAAAGTGCGGGAATATTAATATAAAATAATATTAAGCTAAGATATTATTAGATACTTTATTGATCCAAATAAATGGAAACTTGCTCTTTTTCCCCCTTCATAATTTTTTTTCAGTCTTGACAATCCTTGTTTGAGTTAGTGGCTGTTCCTTAAAATGAGTCTGTTACAAGACTTTCGTCAAATAATTAATTTTACGGTACGAATAACCCTGAGTGTGAATTGTAATTTGAAACAAGAGTCTTGGCTTTTTCTCGGAACGCACTTGTTTCTTTTTGCTTATGTCTGTAGCCGATTTATCTTTTGATGGTTGTTATACGCCAGAAAAGATTATTCATCATCATCTATGGCACTACAGCCCATGTAGGGCCCTGGCCTGCTCCACCACATCCTTCCATTCGGAGCGATCCACGGCTTTCCGTCTCCATGCTCGAACCCCCAACTGGTGTAAATCTGTCTCCACATCATCAATCCACCTCATCCTTGGGCGACCGATGAGTCGTCTGCCCCTAGGCTTCTGCCTGTATATGATTTTGGCTGCTCTGCATTCCGGCATCCTTTCAACATGACCTGCCCAGCGTATTCTGCCTTTTTTTATCATTGTGACTATGGGTGGTTCTTTGTACAAATCGTAAAGTTCTTGGTTTGTACGTATTCTCCAGGTATCATTTTCTAACACTGGTCCGTATATTTTGCGCAGGATTTTCCTCTCCCATGTGTTGAGCAGGTTCTCTGCTTTTCTGGTGAGGGTCCAGGTCTCACTAGCGTACGTTACTACAGGTCTTATGATGGTGGTGTATATTGTCTTCTTTGTTCCCCTTGATAAGTTTTTGTTTCCCAGTAGCTTTTGTAGACTGAAATAGGAAGATTATTTGGAAGGATAAAAAATAAATCAGTGGCGTACCTAGGGGGTGCGGGGGGGGGGGCCGCACCAGGTGAAACCATCTCAGGGTTGACTCCAAATTGAAAACATCCATATTTGCAGAGTACACACACCGCTCCATCTATCAGAATTTCTTAAAAAGATAACCGATCACACGTACATTTTCCTCACATGTAACCAATCCAAATGCGTGCTTTATTCAAAGTTCAAGGTTGATCCGTCACAAATGAGGGGATCCTATCATTAGGTCGGAAAAACACCGTTTCAACGCCGATTGAAGTGTTCGCTTACTTTTTTGTAAGTGGCAGGAAGGTAAAATTATCTAAATTCTGAGAAATAAAAAAAAACCTTTTCATTCCATTGATACCAAAATACGATGTGTTTGGGCGATTCTAAGTTCATGAATCAAATCAGCAAAAATTTTAAAAAAAACATTAAAAAATGAATTGCTACCCATTTAATAGTGTTACAAAAGTTTCTAATAACTTTTGTAATTATTTAAATGTATTTAATTTTTATTGTTTTTATTTTTTTGAAACCAAATAAATTGAACCCAAGAAATACGTTTAAAAAAAATATTATCGCCGATTGGTCACTAGCACCGCCCCTTAACATTTGAGCACGATTGGTCACTAGCACCGCCCCTTAACATTTGAGCACGATTGGTCACTAGCACCGCCCCTTAACATTTGAGCACGATTGGTCACTAGCACCGCCCCTTAACATTTGAGCACGATTGGTCACTAGCACCGCCCCTTAACATTTGAGCACGATTGTCACACAGCACAAGGTCTTTTACATGATCTCTGTGATTTCACGTTTATCCGCCATCTTTACCTTTTAGTTGATCTGCTTGAGGAAGTTAATGTTACACAGCAGCATCCGCAGGCTAAAGGCTTTACCCTTGACAAAGTGGTGATCAGCCTAGCGGCCTTAAGATTGATTCTGCACGAGAAGCGCTGTTACTTGGTGGAACATGCTGTTGATGACGCACTTATAAAATGAGACCAATATGGAAATTCGGTAGAGAGAAGATTCGTGCTTAAGAATGGCGGAAGAACAATTCATAGATGCTGGACTCTCTCTGCGAGAAGAAAACATTACGGAGATGCTGGAGTGTATTAATCGCTTTCATTCTGAATTAAGATCAGATCATCAGCGATCAAGGAAGTATCAGATATGTGTTTTGGGGCAGTTCAACCCAAGAGTTTACTATTAGCAAGTGAAGAAGCGTTATTAGTGCCAGTTCCAAAATTAACCTCTTTCTATGATATCAGAAGACGAACTTTAAAAAAAAAATACCAACGCTTAGAAGACACCTAAAGGCAGTTGATATTGATTTCACAAAGTCGTGGACTGGTCAGTATTTGATGATTTAAAATTCATAGCTGAATGGGACTTCCTAGAATCTCTTCCAATACTCTCGCTAAGCCTTAATTGTTTATTATGATCTGTGTTTCTGTGGCTTCATGTGAGCGGAGCTTTTCAAAACTAAAGCTTATCAAGAACTATTATGATCCTCCATGGGACAGTCAAGGCTTTCTGATCTGGATTGAAATCAATGATTGACAGGTTTGCAGCTTTGAAGACCAGGAAAGGAAAATTTTAAATAAAGCAAATTTAAACGTAGAAATAACTATTACTTAACGATGTTACAGTTTTTGAATACATTGACCCCATGACCTTCAATTTATGTCGTTTTGTTCTTGTCATTGTTATACTGTGGACTTATTTTAACAAAAAGAAATCAGTTTACCGCACCGGGTGACACCGACCCTAGCTACCTCACTGAAATCAATGGTACGACGTAAAAGATACCAGATAAGAGTCCCCTGACACACGCTGAGGACTAACTACCAAATGAGAAACTTGATTTTCATATCCATTGTGTAGACGAAGTTTCGTGTCCCCAGGTCCGGCGTAGGAATAAGTGAAGCTTGTGTTGAATTGCCGCTTCAAACCTTTGACAGCTTCGACCCTCTTCTTTTCAACACCCCCGTCTCCATTGTCTCGGAACTTGAGCGCTACGCCTCGTAGACAGGAAACAGTATAACGAATAGAGAAGCCAGACTTCTCGGTACGCGTCCTGTATTTTGGGGTCTCGGTGCAGTCGAGTGGGGCTGACGTTTACCGCGACCACCTGTTCCTGGTGTCATTATTACGCTTGCGTGCTGACAATCTGACACGAGGATTGGGGCGTGCACGAGCTATGTAAATCATCATTTTTAACGATTTTGGACCACCTCCCTCTCTTTGTCAACAACTGTCAACATCTGCCAAGAAACTCACTAATAAATTACGTTGAAAATGCACACCACACACTTTTTAAAAAAAAATGCTATTTTAAAAAATAAATTAACTAAATATATAAATTTAAGCATATCTGTTTCAATGCCTACACCATAGAAATTGTAAATAACAATTGTGTGTGCTATGTGGATTAAGTCAATCTTTTATGCTGGTAAACAATGTAAACAAACTTTTAGTTTGTAACACTTAAAACAGGGGCGGGAACCCACTGAAATATTTAATTCGACCCCACCGCGACCTTCGGGGAACTTGTTGCACGTTTTATGTCAAATGTAGAAGTTGCGCGTGTGACCCTTAACTGAACCAGGCTTTTCAGCCTCTTAGTAGCTCTAAACCCTCGTAGCCAATCATCACTCTTCCGAGTTATGACCGCGCAGTTGAAGTCAGCGGTCCCCATTTACAGAGTCAGCGCTCCCCATTTACAAATGTCCAGGTTTTAATTCGATGCGTGCAGAGCAATCGATGTTTTGTTAATGACGACAACCCAGCGTTTGTGACGAGTCAAGTGACAAGTGGAGAAGTCAACTTCACACTCACCGGGTCAGCCGAAGGCAGTGGCGCAGCTAGGGTTGGGACTACCCGGGATAAACCAAACATTTCGCCGACCCCCCCCTCCCTTTTCAACAACAAAAAAACTATGCATTTAGTCGAAAATGCCACCACTCTATTAAAAGAAGGAAGAAAAAAAAGCCACTCAGGGCGGACCGCCCCACCCCACCCCCCAACCATTTCTGCACCACTGGCTATGTGTGACGGGGTCTTCAATTTTGTGTCCCCCCCCAAAAAAAAAGGGAGGTTTTTGTGGGGATAAACAGTTGTGAAATCCGTATTTTAATGCTAGCAAACCATATCATTAACATATCCGTTCTGCCCTAAAAATAATAATAAAAAAATTTTAAAAGTATACGTTCGCTCTGGTTATTTCGAATAAATATAACAGAATGTGTCGATGATACAAATGTATTCGTTAATATCAAACCATTTCTTGTTTACCGAATCCAGTGGGAACCCTGCAATAAATAACGCATATTCAGATGTACCGCTTTCTGGGCATGGCTCCAAAAAAATTTCGCATATTCATTTGCATATTTTAAAAAAGCAAATAAAAGCTGAATCAAAAAAAGCATTTAAAACATAACCAGACTGAAACTTTTGGTAAGAGACCATGTATTAATTTAATTTAGATCTAGTGTAATCGTGACGTGGTTCCTGAAAAACGAAGTCATTCAACATCCAAGAAACGAAAGCTGACAGCGTGAATTGACTTGGCTCATGCAGAGGCGTAGCTAGAGTGTTTGGCGCCCGGGGACAAGATTCATTTTAAAGAACCTTTTTTTTTTTTTTTTTTTTTTTTTTTTTTGCAACTCTCAAACCCAGTATTCTCATCAATAAAACAATATCAAAGCAACATTTGGCGCCAATAACTAGTCAGCCTCCCCTCTCCCCCCCCCATCGCCACCCCATAGCTATAACGCCTCTGGGGCTATGCAACGTTACTAGGCGCAACCATTTCAGAGTAGGCTGAATAATATCCCTTTTATCGGCTGTAACAAAAATATCCTAGCGCCATTTACTCGGAGTCCGGCGAGACTACATGGTATGCGTAAGTGGGTAGACGGCGCCACTTTGTGACACATTTGTAGTGACAGGGAGGCAGATCGCATCAAATTATCGTAATTCCCCCAAATTAATGCGAACCCGATTTTAACCTGATCCCATTTTATGGACCCCCCCCCCCCCCCGCCAAATTATCGCATTTAGGAGCATTTCCGCTGTAATTTTATTTTCCCTTCCTATTCCAGATTGTTACCTTCTGATACGTCATGCCTGAGGACATGTCGAGGTTTTTTATCCCGCAGTACGGCGAGCAGAGATGTGTACAGCTGACGCATGAAGGAGTCCCCGATGAAGTAGACGGTCTTGTTCTGAAGTACGCGACACGCGTCCTCCTCTGTCTTGAACTGTTCAAGCTTAAAGTTGTGGAAGTGGACAGTGATACTATAGTAGAAAGCATAGTTTGGACATTTAATTACAAACAAAATTAGTGAAAATTTGTATCAATTTTGCAAACGTTAATTTTACAAGCACTGGGTCTAGCAAAAGGTGTCAATTATGGAACATAAAGGGTTAATGAATAATATTTCAGACAAGTGTATATCGAATTTCTTCGATAGGTGTAAAATGATTCTTGACTCCTGTGACGGTTCTTGCATCTGTTGGTAAAGAGCAATACCAATTATTGAAAACAGACAAAGGCAGTCTAAAAATTGATTATAAAATAGGAAATAAGAATAGATTGAATGTGGCGATCGAATCCGTTTTGCCTCTTTTAAGCAAAATAGTTATTCCCATAATCATGAACTTCGATGGGGTAAAATTTAGATTCATCTGGGGGGAAAATATGTGTTTCTGATGGAATAATTTAAATAATTGAACAGCGAATTCTATTATGAAACCGAAAGACGCTACTCACCTTGCATGTAGAATTTTCAGGTATCCAGGTGGCAAACTCAGCGTGAACCGATTGTCTCATGTCATAACATTCCGGGCAGACACATTCCTGTACAGTTTTATTCACACAAACATTGTCCATGCAGCACGGGGTGGCGCCTTTAGGATTGCATACTGCTCTGTGCCATTGGTGATCGGGGAAGTTTACGTTTCCTGGAGATTAATTATAACGATGTGAATAGGGACCATAAAATGCATCGGTACAGTTAGATACACCATACTGTCAATGTCATTTTTCAAAATAATATAATGATGATATCACTTTTTTAAAATGATATAATGACAATGAAATGTATTTGGAATTTATCAGTTTGGAAAATAGGAAACACCATCTTAGCAAACAAGTAAAACTGTGCTTTTTATCGTTTCCCCAGTTTTTCCCTAAAGTGTTCTAAATATTAATTCCGTTCAAAAAAGCTTTTCCAGAGTCTCCACAATATTATCAACATTATCTGCATACAATAAAGCTGTTTCACCATCTTAAATAATTGCATTTCAGAATAAATGGATTTGGAAAATCCGTATATGTATTGAAACATGATGCATCAATTTGCATACAGTTATGATATGGATGGAGAATACGAACCAACCAGGAATTGTAAAGTCTATATCAGGATCCATCGCTGGTTGCAGAAATAGAAAAAGGTCAAGCTGTGCTGGGGGTGGGACACTTAGAAAGACTGCCATTGACAGAGGAGTGAAGAGGGTGCACCACCAAAGCCCCAGAGGATAACGGTATGCCTAGGCTTAGATCAGGGGTCTCCAAACTACGGCCCGCGAGGCCATCTCATGCGGCCCGCGGAGACCTTTTTGTCTACGTAAAAAATACGGAAATTTACGTGTATTCTGCCAAGATCAGACGCCGCTAACGTGGACGTTATGTTTTTGCCGAATTAAAATAGAGGCGCGCAGTAGTGCGTTATGTTTTCTAACGGATCATGACTTGACAAAACCTTGGACGCTGCTTAGTTTTTCTACTTCCGTTCACAGTCAATGAGATGTTATAACGCCATATATATTTGTGGAGCTTTGCAGACATGGGTGAAAACATTGTGACTCTAAAATGCAAGCAAGTTTCGCCAATTTTTAATTGCAATGGATGAGTCGCTGGACAGCTGTTCCATCTCTCAACTGGCTGTGTTCGTTAGAGGTGTGGATGAAGACATGAACATAACACAAGAGCTGGCTTCCCTACATAGCATGTACGACACTGTTACCGGAGAGGATATATTCAATGAGTTGGAAAAAAAACAACATTTGCTGATTATAACTGGGACTGGACTAACCACAGTTGCCTGACTGTTGGTGGAGAAAAGAACATTAGTGGCATAAAGAAAAGCTTGGTTGCACAAGTGAAGCAGATGTGTGATGAGACAAAATTCTGCAACCAGTGTTCCTTTACTGTATTATTCAGCAGAAAGCTTTGTGTGAAAAATATGTGGACATTAGCAGCGTACTAAATCCTGTGGTAAAGAGAGTTAATTTAATTTGGTCACATGTGCTCAACCATAAACAGTTCAAAGACATGTTAAAAGATACAGACACAGAATCGCAAGATTTACCATATTAAACTGCAGTAAGATGGCTAAGTTGTGAGAATGTTCTGAGCAGAGTATTTACGTTAAGAAAGGAAAAAGGTCACTTCCTGAAAAGTAAAGGCAAGCTGTCTGATGAAGAGTGGGTATGGAAATTGGTCTTTGCTGTAGACATAACTAGTCATTTAAATTTTCAGAACCTTAAACTGCAAGGAGAGGAAAATCTAGTTTCTGATCTATACACCTTTCTAAAGGCCTTCAGATCCAAATTCGTCTTGGTTTTTGGAACAAGTACATAGGCCAACAACTTGAAACACTTTCAGCAGTGGACGGTCTTCATGGCTGAATCAAAAGCGGAGTTCCCCACGTCATTTGTATGCGAGATCATCAAAGAGCCCCAGCTGCAGTGTCAGCAGCGGTTTTCTGGCTTGGATTCAAAGGCAGAAGAAGTGAGCCTTTTTCAAAACCCATTTGAAGCAGATGTGGCCAGTCGCCAGATGAACTGCACCCGGAAGTCATTGAGTTGCAAGCAAATGACCTCCTTAGGGACAAGTTAAAAGAATGACCGGTGGGTTTTTAACTAGTTTTGGCCCAAGGAAGACTTTCCTAATTTCAAAACATTTGCATCAATGTACCTTTCAATCTTTGAAACAACAACAACAGACCTGTGTGAACAACAGACCTGTGTGAACAACAGACCTGTGTGAACAACATGCCTGTGTGAACAACATGCCTGTGTGAACAACATGCCTGTGTGAACAACATGCCTGTGTGAACAACATGCCTGTGTGAACAACATACCTGTGTGAACAACATACCTGTGTGAACAACAGACCTGTGTGAACAACAGACCTGTGTGAACAACATACCTGTGTGAACAACAGACCTGTGTGAACAACAGACCTGTGTGAACAACATACCTGTGTGAACAACAGACCTGTGTGAACAACAGACCTGTGTGAACAACAGACCTGTGTGAACAACATACCTGTGTGAACAACATACCTGTGTGAACAACAGACCTGTGTGAACAACAGACCTGTGTGAACAACAGACCTGTGTGAACAACAGACCTGTGTGAACAACAGACCTGTGTGAACAACAGACCTGTGTGAACAACAGACCTGTGTGAACAACAGACCTGTGTGAACAACAGACCTGTGTGAACAACAGACCTGTGTGAACAACAGACCTGTGTGAACAACAGACCTGTGTGAACAACAGACCTGTGTGAACAACATGCCTGTGTGAACAACATGCCTGTGTGAACAAACATTCTCAAGAAAAAAATAAGTGAAGAACAATTGGAGAACATATTTGTCCGATGATCATCTCAGGTCACTGTTGATGCCAGGGACATCAAATCTAAATCCAGAAATGTCTGCTGATCACTGCTATTTTGGCATCCAGGAAACAATTTCACCATTCATACTAATACTAATACGGTGTTCATGTGTCGTGTATCAATGTGTTATTAAACAATAACTGAATGAAATAAAAATATATAATTAATTAGAAACAATATCCGTGTTTTGATTCTTTTTTATTTGGACCTCGAGTGTGTATGCGGCCCCCGAACTGCTGTTTGATAGTTAATGCGGCCCTCGGGCTGAAAAGTTTGGAGACCCCTGACTTAGACGTATGAATGATCTGGGAACAGATCTACAGCAGCTGGGAAGCCAAGCATGAAAAAGAAAAGTATCAATTACGTCTAAATGAAGCAGGCCAAAGGATTGTAGCGCCACAAGGGGGATATGTGGATGGATGGTGATTTCCTAACCCAAGGTGATCCTAAATCTGAATAATTTGTCTTTCCTGCAAATTTGATAAAATTCTTCATAAATATTGTATTTCATATCGTAAGGTGAAACCGAGTCATTTCCTAAGAACTTCCAGTACCTAGTTGTTGAAATGAAGGAGAATTTCTTAGAATTTTAATTTTAAGATTTTGGAAATACTAGTTTTATGCTTGCAGATAACAAAAAAAAGTACAGAATTTGTCTTTGAAATTTAAATAATTAAAATTTTGTATCCTAGCTAAACTAAAACAGATTTTTATCCCTTTTCAAGGTAGTTCACAAAATTGTACCCTGTGGCGTAGCGGATCAGGGGGGGTGGAGAAGTAAGTTAAGGGCAGGTGTTTGAGGGGTGTGGAGCCCACGGTGGGGGGGGGCCAGGAATTCCTCCCCTGCCCGGGCTTACTACAATCACTAGCATTTGACAATGACTATACAGCTAAGCGTCTCTATGGTGACTGTGCCCGTCTCTATGGTGACTGTGCCCGTCTCTATGGTGACTGTGCCCGTCTCTATGGTGACTGTGCCCGTCTCTATGGTGACTGTGCCCGTCTCTATGGTGGCTGTGCCCGTCTCTATGGTGACTGTGCCCGTCTCTATGGTGGCTGTGCCCGTCTCTATGGTGACTGTGCCCGTCTCTATGGTGACTGTGCCCGTCTCTATGGTGACTGTGCCCGGTGACTTAAACCCCTTAATCCGACTGTGGATCATACCAAGACAACGATAGAGTTCAAACACATGATAATGTTCAAAGTCATGATAGCAAGGGTGGTTTTACTGTAAGACCGAACGAAGCCATTTCTTTTGTGTCACAGCTCTCAGGGGGCGACATCAAAGCAAGTCATTGACATTATATTTAAGATATTATAGAGATTTAGTGAACCTAGACCAATGATAAACTGTATTTAAAGTCATCTGCATACACTCGCGGGTTAAAGTTAATTTGATTAAATTGATGCTCCTCCTGGGTCCTAACGTCCCCTGGGTGCTAACTTCTCCTGGGTCCTAACTTCTCCTGGGTCCTAAATTCTCCTGGGTCCTAACTTCTCATGGGTCCTAACTTCTTCCTGGTCCTAACTTCTCCTGGGTCCTAACTTCTCCTGGGTCCTAACTTCTCTTGGGTCCTAGCTTCTCCTAGCTCCTAACTTCTCATGGGTCCTAACTTCTCCTGGGTCCTAACTTCTTCTGGGTCCTAACTTCTCCTAGGTCCTAACTTCTCCTGGGTCCTAACTTTTCTTGGGTCATAAATTATGCTGGGTCATAACTTCTCATGAGTCCTAACTTGTCATGGGTCCTAACTTCTTCCTGGTCCTAACTTCTCCTGGCTCCTAACTTCTCCTGGGTCCTAACTTCTTCTGGGTCCTAACTTCTTCTGGGTCCTAACTTCTCCTGGGTCCTAACTTCTCCTGGGTCCTAACTTCTCATGGGTCCTAACTTCTCCTGGGTCCTAACTTCTCCTGGGTCATAACTTCTCCTCGGTCATAACTTCTCATGGGTCCTAACTTCAACCCTCAGAGGAATTCTAAAGCAATTGTTTATTTAATGTAGGCCTAACTTATTCCAGCTGTCGCATAGGCAAGCCTTTAGCTCTTTTTTTTTATTCTAAGTCATTCCGCGTCATCAAGAGAAAACAACTCTCAAATTTCGTCTTTTGATAACTTTTCACTGGTTGAGAGTTTTTTTTTTTATCTTTACCCTTTTTTCCGACCTAATAATTTAACTGGGTCAGAATTTTAAACAAACTTACAGTAACAAACTGTGAGAATGTAGCCAGTCAGAGTTCCAATATCTAACAAAAAAACAACTTAACACATTGTGTAGAATGTACCCAGTCAGAGTTCCAATATCTAACAATAATGAGTAGCTATTGATAGCAATACGTAACATTAAATTATGCTTTATGTATATTTTGCGTCAAAAATGGTACCCAATCGTATATTAAGAAAAATAATATTGTTGCCGGTGGTGGGCCGCAACCCTCTTCCTAGGCCACTGAATTCGTACCACAATGCGCCCACTACTAGTCCTTAGATCCTATGAACCGTGACAAGACTACACAAAGTTTGCTCTGTTGACAATGACGAGAAGTTAAGGTACAACCCCCCCCCCCACCCACCAACCCCTTTTAATTCAAGACCCATAACACTTGGAAGCCTAACATTTGACAAAAGGCAACGGCTCCATTCAGTCCATCGTTCACACGCCATCTTTGAAAGAAAAAAATTCCCCATGGGGGCGAATGCCTGCATTGTTCCTACTGATTTAGCTGTTCCTAATAATTTGAATGTTTAACGAAATTGCAAAATGTTGATGGTGTTCAGTACTTGTTTCTGGCCCTTTGTCCAGGTGGATTAATCTAAAACAAATAAACAATAAATCTGCATCATTGATTGGCCACATTCAAAAAGGTGTCCAATTGATTTTCTGAAGACTTGATTTAAAAATAATATATTTTAAAAACTTTTTAAAATGACGTTTTTTTTTTTTTGTTTAAAGAAGACGAGTTGAAGCGAACTAAAAAGAAGAAAATATTTTTCTTAAAATTCACTTTGCAAAGACTGTATGTGAAGAAGGGTAGAAAGATATTCTATTTTTTTAAAATATTTTCTACACATTTATTTATCAGCTACCACGTTTATATATCTACCACATATCTAAACCACATACCACATTTATATACATGTCACCTACCACATTTATACATCATTACCACATTTATATATCACCCACTATATTTATTTGTATTACCTACCATATATATATATATAAATATATATATAAACATTTATATCACCAACAACATTCATTATTTAATCGACCATATTTTTATACATCACCTACCACATTTGTTATCGTCCCGTTGTAATGTCGCCGGCAGGCTGTGATAATCCCGAGTGCGTCGTATGAACGCCTCCACTTCCTCCATTTCCAGTGGAGTGTAGCTCCCGACCAGCCATTGTCCTTCCAGCATCTGGTCAAGGCTACATCTGTGGTGTCCGGCGTGCCGTTGGACGTAGGTCGAGGGCTGCCCAGGCCACAGGTCGTCGAGGACGACGCCGACATCAAACGCGTCCATCGCCATTCGACCGGCGAGCGTTGTCACCAAGGCGATTGCGAGGAAGGTCAGAAACCATCGGATCGACAGACGTTTCACCAATCTACTCCTCATCGCGGAAATTAAGAGACCATCGCGACAACTTTATTTTGAGAACTTTATTATTCTTAAACGTATCGTTATATAGGCAAGAAGATATAATAAACGTTTGTGTGTGTGTGTGTTTTTTGTTTGTTTGTTTGTTTGTTTGCATTTTTTTAATATTTTTTTTTTTTGGGGGGGGGGGG